AGGGCCTGATGGACCATTTTTGACCTTCTTGACAGTCCAGAGTCTCAACAGAAAAACCACAGCACGCTCTCTATCTTTACTCCCAAACAAGGGAGGACCCTCCCAGTGTCCCCACTTCTAGCTCTCTGCCCACCTCCCCATTTCTTGGGCCCTTCTCCCAGCAGTTGGACAGACCTGGATGTGGGGTGTCTGGAGGGCTGGAGCGAAGCTGGAGGAGACGGAGGAGCTGAGGGCAGGACTGAAAGGACCCCGCGCCCTACGCTGAAATTGTACATCTCCCCCCACTTCCTCCGGACACATGGACACCCCCTTCTTCCTCAAGTACGGAAACCTCTGGTGAGACCCCGATAAGGGAGTTGAGTCATGCCCACCCTTACTCTCGGCCTGGTCCTAAGTGTACGTCCACATAGCTATAGGAGGGTGAGCGAGAAAAGGGAAGTGAGAAGTGACCTGAGGGTGACGAGGGCATAGAACAAGGCCCCTAGAAGTACAGGGAGAAGTTACCCAGGTCCTGCTCTGGCCTGAGAATTTTGTTACCCTTTCCATGTTTTATGGAGCAGCAACAACCCCCACCCCCCACTATGTCCCCCTCCCAGGGAACTCCTCCTCCTTCAAGACATTCCTGAGATACATTCCAGAGGAGTTGGGCAATGGGAGGGGGATGGGGGAAAGGAGGACAGGAGGTCAAATCCCAGCAAGGAATGGAATGTAAGTGTACTGGGGGTAAGGAATTTGGGGCACATGGACAATGTAGTCAGAGCAGATACCCACAAAGGGAGCTGCAGAAAGACAGGGAGTTTACAGAGAGGGACCAAGGGAGAGAGAAAGCTGTACACAGAGTCAGAATGGAAGAGGGCTGGGGGAATAACACTCAGTCTGTTACCAAATTTGGCCTCTGAGTCCGCAACCGCGAGGAGGAGGGGTGGTGAGGGTTGTGGGTGAGACTGACATATCCGGCCTCGAGTTGCTGGAGGCTCATTTAGGGTTGGACTGGGCAGCAGGAGGTCTGGACCTGACCTTCCCTCAACACAGCCCCTGCTCACCTACACCCTTAATGGAGCCTATTCCTCCTCCCCACACACACCCCGGCCCCTGCACAGAGCTCTTTTCCACAAAGCTACGTGCGCTGCCTCTACAGGCATGTTATCTCAGGCACACAGCCCCTGCCCAGATCCCCCCACAACCACGTTATCGTGCCGCAAAGACTTCAGCCCACACGCACAGCCTCCCACAAACACGATGCTGTCAGCAAGCGCAGCCATCCCCCTCACGTGGGCACTTTCCCTCCATCCGCGCAGCGCGCTTTTCTGAAGACCTGTTGTGGGGAGGAGACTGCGACAGACTCTCGCAGTGCCTGGGAACCCAGGGTAAGCCCTACTTAGCCTTTGACCTCCAGGGGCTCCCAGTCAGCCAAGCAGATCAGTTAAAAACAGAATTATACCAGAGGGCAGGATGTGGTAAGAGCCCAGAGGTATGTGGTCAGGGGAGGATCCCTTCAGGTAAAGGAAGAGGGACCAAAAAGTCTCCATGAAAAGTGTCCTTTGAGGCCAGGATTAAACATAAATAAGTATAAAAAATAATAGCGATCTATCTTTTTATTAACTATGTGTCCATCGTTTTGTGTACATAATTTCATTTAATCCTTACAACAACCCTGCAAGGTAGGTATCATTACTTCCATTTTTACAGATTATAAAGCTGAGGTTCAAAGAAAGTAAACACTCGTTCCAAGTACTTGTCCAAAGTTACACATCTAAGTTGTGAAGTCAGGATCCGAACCCAGGTCTCTCTGACTCCAGAGCCTAAGGTCTCCACCACACCAGCCAGAGATGAGTCGGGGTAGCATTCCAGGCAGAGAGAATAGCATAAGCAAAGGTGGATAAGCAGGAAATCACGGAGGAGCACTGAGGGAAGTGAGCAGACAGGCTGGCTGAAGCGCAGGGTACCTGCAAGGGAGCAGTGATGGGGAAGTCAGGGTTAGGATGAAAAAGCAAGGGAGGATTAGCGGGAAGTACGAGGGATTTGTACCTACTGCAGGGTAACAAGAGGCCAAGGGAGGCGGTGAGTAGAGAAGGGACATAACCATAACCGGATTTTAGGAAAATAACTCTGACAGTTACCTTGGAGATCAGTTAGAAAGACACTGCATTAGTACGAGTGAAAGGTAATAAAACTAGAGATAGAATAGTGGAGAGAAGGATGTCACTCATTAGAATGTTTAAGAGTAGAACTGATGGGACCTGATGACAGTCTGTCCTGTCAAGTGTCAGGGACCAGGACCCAAAATCAGGCTGGGGTTCCACAGCTTCTTATCATTGGCAGCCACCCAGTGGCTGGGGCAGCTTGAGTGTAGGTAAAAAATTGGGAATGGGAAAAGGAAGGATCGGGTTGAGCTGGGAATGTGACAATGAGGCTGTGGTTAGGGAATGTGGTTAGTCTGTGGGGAAAGGGGGGCGGGATGTGCTTAGCACCAGGTAGTGGCGGAGGAAACGGGGTTAGTGTACTGCGTCTGATGGGTACTAGAATTATCAGTGTGATCACTTTGTAAGGTGTATGAATGCCCAAACACTAGGTTGCACACCTGAAATGAATATAACATTGTATGTCAACTGTAATTTAAAAAAATAAAATTCACGTACATACTTTCTAAAATTAAAAAACAAAAGAAGAAATGGGGTTAGTGACTGTACAGGGCTGGAAATGGGGAAGACAGGTGTAGGGGAAGGCTGGGGAGGGTGGCAGTGGGAGAACAATGTATGTGAGCAGTCACTGGCTCAGGCTGGGAGAAGGGGAAGAATGACGTGGACAGGCTCAGACAGGGGATGATGAAGTGAGGTCAGAGGTGAGGTCAGGCTACGGGAGGCTGAGAGAAGATGGGCCTGTGGTCACTGCTAAATGAGGCTGGGGATGGAGGAGAGTGAAGGGACACTGGTAGTGTCTAAGCAAAGCTGTGGCTGTAGGGGCTGGGGGCATGGGATGCAGCCAGTGAGTGCCTGGGTCACACTGAGTAGGGGACAGCGCTATGGTCAGTGGCAGGGTCATGCTGGGAGTGAAATGGGGGTGTGGTCAGTGGCCTCCCTGGGCGTGGGATCTGCAAGACCCAGTTTCCTCTTTGGGTCTCATTTCCTCTTTTCTGTTTGGGGAGTGGGGGAAGGGGATCTACAAGTGGACCAAGAAATTAAGGAGGCTTAGAATCAGGACGGCCCACAGCAGGGACCAGGGTTATTTGCCAGTTGTGTTGGGCTGGGAGTGGGGTGTTCAGCAGATGACTAAAAGGCATGCAGGTAAATGAGTGGGTAAAAGTGGTGGGAGAGTGCTACAGAACGATGTGAAAGCTCAGATTGGGTGAGGGTAAATTAAGGTAGGATGTGTAAAGTAAGGGGATGGAGGGGATGGTGAACTGAGGCTAGGAACGGATGGTAAGATGAACATGGGAGAGGGCAAGGGAAGTATTCTGCAAGGGGATATGCAGGAAGGGTGTGATTGACATGCAGGGTCACGGATGCGAGTTGGAGAGGAAGGCTTAGTATCAGGGGAATGAGAAGATGGGAGGCAGTGGGGCTGAACTTTCAGAGGACTCAGTTATCCTTCTCTCCCTTGGCAACAGTGTGTCCTTGGTCCATTTCCCGCTTAGTCACCAGTCCCCTCTTCCCTATGCAGTCCTCCATTTATGACTAAGCTTTGTATACCTCCTGGGTCCCTCTCCCTTTCCCACCTCCTATCTTGTAAACAGCATAGTCCAGAAACCCCTGCCCCTCAACTCGGTGGCCACTGGAAAAGTCTTGGACTTCAAGAGTATAATAAAAAAAAAGCTGAAAACCTAGATGCCTGCAATTCCAGCTGAAGTCCAAAGCCATGGCCTGAAGTTAGTTTGTCATTTATTCTGGGTCAAAAAAAGCCCCTGAGACTACACAGGAATGAGACCTCCTGCAAAACACGGGCATATACCTACTGTCAATCTCTTACATTTTACCTGCCTCAGGTCAACTACCCTCACGTCAATCACAATCTCTAGAACCACTCCTAATTCCTAACGTTAACCTTGACCCTAACTTGTTTCCTGTTTCCTAATACATTCATCCCTTTCCTGACTCACCCCTTCACTGTTTAGTCTTAATACTGACTATGCCATGGTTCTCTACTCCCTAAAACTCAATTTCTAACCTAATTCCTGTTGTTGATCCTGAATTCTAACTTTGACTTATGTTGGTCATCCTAGAAAACAAAATAATAATGACCCGACTCACACTAATAACTCTAAATCTTAACTGTGGCTCTATAATTCCTAAAGCTAATCTTGAATCCCAAACTCACCCAAAGCTTTCCTACCCACATACCCGCTATCAGCGAATCTCAAAACCGATCCCCGCCCCGCACCTCACTGCCACCCCACTCCTCACCCTCCCCAAAACCTATCCGAGACAGAGGACTGCTCCCAGGAAGGCCCTGGCTCCAGCAAAAGGATCTACTTTAACCGTGAGCCCAAGCCGAGATGGACAGACGCTGAAATCTCTCCAACAACACCTGAAACAGGAGGCGCAGGAAAGTCCGGGGCCCCGCCCGCCCGCCTCCCGGGTCTGTCCTCGCAGCCACACCCTAAGGCTCCGGTTCCCCCGGTCCGACCTACCTGCGCAGCCCTGCTAGTGCCCCGCCCGCCGGCCCGTTAGCCGGCTAGTTCTCCCGGTGGCTCTCGGGATCCGGCCTCGCCCTCCCTTCGGCGACACTCGGCCACTTCCGTCCCCGGAACTTCCCCCACCCGTGGGCGGTGCCCTGGGCCGGCGTTCTATGGTTGCGGGGACTGCCGGAAGCTGCTCTGGCCTCAGCTCTCGTTGCTCACGAGACAGCCGAAAACCGGGCGCCCCTAGCCGGAAGCAGAGGTGGGGCGCAATCTGGCGAAAAGGCTGGAACTGGGCTCGAGTTCCCTTTTAAAAGAAAGATTAATTTTATTTATTTATTAAAAAAATTTTATTTATTTTTAGAGAGAAGGGAGGGAGAAGGAGAGGGAGAGAAACATCTGTGAGGTTGTCTCTAGTGGGCCCTCTACTGGGGACCTGGCCCGCAACCCAGGCATGTGTCCTAGACTGGGATTCAAATCCGTGACACTTTAACTCGCAGGCCGGCGCTCAATCCACTGAGCCACAACTGCCAGGGCTGGAATTCCTTTTTAGTCTCTGATTCTTTTTTCTAGCTTGGGGCGAAGGCGGAGCCGGTTCCCCAGAATGACCGCCCTGGGGTGTAAGGACTCAGCAGGGACATCCCCTTCATTTGCATAGCTCCCGGTACGTGGCGCAGCACCAAGGCCACTTCCGCACTATAGCGAACTCCAAGTCCCGGAATGCTTTGGGGTATGTGGGTCACTTCCGTTGTGTTGGAAGCTGCAGAGAGTCGAGCCTGAGAGGCAGGTCCAGGTTTGAGAGCGACGACTAGTAGCTACAGGGAAAGCCGGCTAAAGAGGGGCTGGCGGATAGGTGGGTTTGACTGACAGTCGGTGGGGGTCGTGCATGGGATTCGGGGTTGGGGCCAGATGGAGGGGTGAATTCCAGTGTTTCTGCCCATTCTTTCCGTAGATGTCCTATATGGAGTTGGCGTTGGACCCCGGTGATGAGGACCTGCTGGGCTTCCTGCTAGAGGAAAGCGGAGGTTTGGGGGCGGTGCCCGACGAGGTCTTGGAGGCTCCACTGGACTGGGAGTTGCCACTTTCCGAGGTGGGTGGGGTCTCAGTCGGGGAGTTGAGGGGTGGTGACTGGTCAAGGAGTGTTAATTTGAATCCTGGGAAGGCCCTGAGCGATTGGGACATAGAGGATTTCCTGAGCTCCCTGCCAAGTCCTCCAGCATCGGTGAACATTCTCAGCAGCTCTAACCCCCGTCTTGTCCAGCATGATCACACCTACTCTCTCCCGCAAGAACATGTTTCCATAGATCTAGGTGAGTAGGAAATAGAGAAGTTTGAGGGGAAGGAGAGGGCATGGATATTCACGGGCATGGATATTCACTTTCCCTTTTGCAGATGGTGGGATCTGTGGAAAAGGGGAGACCCAGATGACTCCACTGCATGAGGAGAAGCCAGCAGAGCAGGTACTTGATTTATGGGAGGATTATTCCCACATTGCAGGAGTAGGGGCTGGATTCCTCCTTCCTCTCTAACATCCCCTTGAAACTTTGCTGCCCACCTTTTGTAACCCCAGGAGATTGTTAGGCTTACACTGACAGATGAGGAGAAGAGGCTGTTGGAGCAGGAGGGGCTTACTCTGCCTGGAACACTTCCTCTCACTAAGGTAAGACTTCCATTGCTTGAGCAAAAGTTAGTGGGGGGTTGTGAGTAGGTTAGTGGGGGGTTGTGAATCCCAAGTAGGCCTTTTTTATTTTTCTGTTTTGTTTTACTGTTCTAGTCAATGAAAGGGAAACTTTATTGAGGCCCCAGGGTCACAGAGTTCAGCCAGAAGGCCGCCCTATGGCTGAGGGGGTGGTGAAGGGGCTTTATTTAACCTTGGGACGCAGGCTGTTGGTGTGGCCACACTTCTTGTGGCAGTTGACAGTGCAGAGGTGCAGTGGTGTAACACTTGGAGCAGTTCATCTTGTCATCAGTTGTACTTCTGGGTAAACTGGCTGAGGGAGGGCTCCATAATGCTAACCCTCAGATGAAGCGCTAAGTGCAGCGCAGACTCTTTCTGAATGTTGTAGCCTGAGACAGGGTGGCCATCCTCTGGCTGTTTTCCTGCAAAAAATCAGACGCTGTTGGTCAGGTGGGATCCCGTCCTTGTTTTGGGTTTTAACTTTGACCTTCTCAGTGGTGTCGCGGGGCTGAACCTCAAGGGTGATAGTCTTGCCATTCAGGGTCTTCACAAAGATCTATACATCTGCGCCTGCGGGGGAGGCTGCTCTGCTGTCTTGTTGATCACCAGTTTCGTTAATTTTATTAGTAACTTGAAAAGGACTGAAGTGAGAAATGTAGCAAATTTGCTGCTCCTAGGAAGCTGAGGGGTGTGGTTAATATTCTAGATGCAGGGGCAGATCCTAGTTTTGTGGGGCTTACATGGATTTTGATGTTTGCTTTAGAATTCAGAATTATTAGCGCATCAGTATAGGGACTTGGAAAAAGACCACTGTGAGCAAGGGGTGCGACACTTAGACTTCACCGGTTCGTGGTAATCCCCCTGTAGCTGGAAGGTAGAATTAAGCGTTTACACTGGACTAAGTAGTCTTAGTGTAAGACTACTTAGTGTAATATAAGAGTAAGTATAAATTCCTCAGTTTCAAGGTGCGAGCTATGAGTGGCAACTTTATAAGCATAATATTGTGATACAGTGATGAAATCACTGTTCACTGACAGAAGATTAAAGGAATTTCAATTTCTTAAAAGTATGAGTTGGCAGTGTGGTGTGGCTACTAAGAAAGTGAATGGGGTTTGGAGGCTTTATCAACAGAGGTTGACAGAGAGCAGTGACTGTCATCTTCTCCTCTGTGTTAGCCAGACCACATCTGGTTGTCCAGTTTTGAGCCCAGATTTTTGACAGGTATTAAAAGGATGCCGTCCATCCCGAGGAGATGAGTTAAAATTTTTGCCCAGATTAACAGATGAAATGTTGAGTGCCTTAAAATAGTGAAGGATCATTTAATTTGTTCTGTATGGCCCCAAAGATTAGGTACTAGGTAAGTCTAATGGATAGAACTTGTAGAAGCAGATACTGGCTCAAGATATGGAAGGTTTTTAATTAATAAAATTGTTGAAGGTGGTCTGGCTCGTGAGGGCATTAACACCTGATCCTGGGAGGCATCCAGCCAGAAGCCAACTGTCTGTTGGTCAGGGGAGCTGTACAAGGGGTCCCTGCATTGACAAGGTGATTGAACTCGGTTGCCTCCCAGCTCCCTGGTCCAGCGTTCTTCTGATACACCTTTTCCTTGTGTTCTGTCAGATGGAGGAACAAGTTTTGAAACAAGTGCGGAGGAAGATTCGAAATAAGAAGTCAGCTCAAGAGAGCCGCAGGAAGAAGAAGGTGTATGTGGGGGTTTTAGAGAGCAGGTATGCTGGGAGAAGGACTCCGGGGTGGGGGAACAGAAGTAGCTGGAAGCAGTAGGTCTTTGAAGGGAGGATACAGGCCATATCCCCACATCCCTGTTGTTCCCTCAGGGTCTTGAAATACACAGCCCAGAATCAGGAACTACAGAACAAAGTACAGCTCCTGGAGGAACAAAATCTGTAAGCAACTCCAACATCACTGCCTTCTCAAACATGCAAGGTCTGGAGCTTGGCCTTTAGTGGGTTTCTGATTCTAAAAAGCTCACAATAATGGGGAATACATTCACAAGTAACTAAGGATAAGGTAAGTATCAAGAAAGACAGAGGGAGTAAGAAAGACCTCATGGGGCAGATGACATTTGATAGTAGATAGCATTGTGGAGGTGGGAGAGCGGGGGTGGGGAGTAGGGATGGGGAGTGTTCTAAGGAGAGAGAGCACAGCATAGTCCAGTCTGGCTGGAACCCTAACACAGGTGAGTTGGGCCCAAAGGTAGAGAACATAGACTGGCAAGTGAGGATTATGTGCGTAGCTATTACGGCAGTGCAGAACCACTGTTTGCAAAGGACGTTAAGGCAGAGCAGAGCAGAGGGGTGTGTATTTGTTTTAAGGAGGAACTTTGGGCATTTTGTCCACAGAGGGGAAGAAAGTCATTTGCAAAAGTAGGACTAAAAGTAAGTTACTCAGTGTTTGTGTCTCTCATGTATATAGGAGAAAAACATGTTATTCAACTTTATTATTAATATTATTTTGAGAGGACCTAGTGCACAGATAGAGAGCTGGCCTTAAAAGGAGGATTTCATTGTAGCTCAGGGTGCCAGGCCAGGGGCTGTTCACTGTCCCCTCTTCTTCTAGGTCCCTCCTGGATCAGTTGAGGCGGCTGCAGGCCATGGTCATTCAGGTAGCAAACAAAACCACCAGCAGCAGCACCTGTGTCTTGGTGAGGATGGCGATCAAAGAGCATTCTCTCACACGTGGGCATGGGTGCAATCCAGAGCTCTTTGTCATTTCCTTTTCCTGTGCTCCAGGTCCTCCTGTTCTCCCTCTGCCTCGTCTTTGTACCTGCTATGTACTCCTCTGACACAAGGGGGAGCCTGCCAGCTGAGCATAGAGGTGAGAGGCTTGAGGATACTATTAAGGGTGGACTTGGGGGAGCAGCCTGGCCAGCCTCTGAAGAGTCTTTGTCTCCTCAGTGTTTTACCGCCAGCTTCGTGCCCTCCCTCACCAGCCGGAGCTGTCTGCCCTGCAGTCGGAGGCACCAAAAGACAGCTCAGACCATGAGCTCCAGGCTCCTGGCAACTTTTGCTGCCTGCTGTTCCACATGCTTCGGGCTCCTGGCACAGAGCCTCCCCTGAAGTTGCCGCTCCCTGACCCTTTCTCACATTTCCCCTGCCCAGGTCCCCTCTTTCCTCTGCATGCAAATCTCACAAGAAAGGGGGGGTGGCTCCCTGACCACCGACCCATATCCATTATCTTGCAGGACAGATACTCAGGCTAGGGTGCAGGCCTGGGGCCTACAGTTGGTGTCCGAGTGAAAAGGAGTGGGAGAGGGCTGGTCTTAGCCTCTGTGCCCTGTCAGAAGCCTTGGGAACCCCAAGGGCTCAAACACCACACTTACTGGCTTTCTGGGTCTTTTATTTGTACCCCTATGTGTCCATCACCCCATGAATGATGGGCCTGGGGGAATCAACTGATCTTGAAAATTTCATGCAGTGAGGGGGTGGGATGAGGAAAGAAATAAATAAGTGATTCTGATGCTTGCATCACCCTCAACCCCTTTACTGGCATGGTTGGGTGGGGTGAAGGGGAGAGGCATGATTGTCCCCGTGGCTCAGGGTTGCAGAAGACTGGGGGTGTGGGGGAGGAGCAAAGGCCAGGCTGGGCTGTTAGCGCCTCCCTCCCATAGTTCGGAGGGCTCACTCTGGGCTTGGGTTTGCCGTGGCTTCCTTTGGTCCCAGTTTAGATACTGTACTTAGTCCTTTGCCCTGTTTGGCTATTGGTCTGGAGAACTTTTTATGCTGCTGCTGCTGCTGCTGCAGGGCCAGCTGCATGGCCCAGATACTCAGTGGCCGCATGTAGGCCAGAGAGCGGAACACTCGCTGTTGGCAGTATGCCTCGGGGGTCTGGAAGGCCAGGCCCAGGCGCTCCCACACAGTACGGTAGCAGCCTTCAGCTGTCTGGAAGCCCTCCCAAGTCAGGCCCTGTAGGGAGAGATGGTAGTCACGTTAGTTGGCAACTCCTGAATGGCCTCTTCAGCTGGACAGATGGGGGTAATAAGGTCCCTCCCCTCAGGCAGTTCCCAGCTAATGGAAAGATAAATTTAACCCTCAGACAGAAGACTGAAGGCAGGAGATGGAATGCAAGCCAGGGAAAAGAGGGAGGCTTTCTCGGTGGCTAAGATGGTGCTGGGTTAGACAGTACAAGTGCTTGAGGGATGAGGAAGTGTGCTTGGGGAAGGTGGTGCATTACCTCCTGGATCATGGTGGCTGCCAGCCCGTAGACCACGCCCACCCAGACTTCATCAGACTGGACACTGGACCTATCGGGGACACCATGGGGCTGCATCCCATTCACAGCCCCCATGGCCCCTCCTGCAAAGGCCTGGACATTGAACTCGAAGATCGTTTGGAGAGCACGGACCACGTGTGGGGTAGGAAATACCTAGAGGGGCAAAGGCAGAAACACAATCTCCTAAACTTACTTTGTACCACCAAGAAAAACCCACCTGTCTAGCTCTTCCGTCTAGTCTCTCTCACCTCAGTGTCTCCGTCTCCTAGGCCGCTGGCCCTCAGGAACCACTGGCCAGCACACTGGTCAGACATGATGCTACAGGACTGAGGCTGAGAGCTGCAGTCATAGTTGTAATAGCGGCCTGCAGCACAGGAAGGGCGAAGTAAGGATCCCGTGTCCGCACAGCTGCTCTAAGACTCCTAGGAATCCCCCAACTCACCATTCCACAGCAGTCTCTCATAGGCTTCTTTGCCCCGGCTAAGGATGGAAGCAAACTTATCTTGGACGTCCTGTGTCCCACACAGAGCAGCCATCTGGACCATCACAGCCACAGCTGCCAGCCACAGTCCTCCACAGTAAGCACTGAGGGTAATGATGGGTTTAGTGGTCAGACTGGCAACTCCAAACAGGCCGTGAGTCTCTCTTCCTTGAGCCTACAGTCCCTTGGTGTTTAGTTCCCCACCTCGGGCCCCCTGGAAATCCCTACCCCACTAACCTGGGGCCTGTGGTGACCCATGCATCATAGGTCTGGTCTGCATAGCCTCCATTTTCAATGAGTCCATCTTGGTCCTTGTCAAACCTCATTTCAGACTCCATCACGGCCTAGGAAGGGACCAAGATGCCAAAGACTTAGATTCTAAGTAAAGACAATAGCCAGCTAGCTCTCCCCAACACCAGCCATGCACTGGCCACTGTACATGCATCCCTTACCAGACACACAGGCCACATGTCCCTCAGGAAGCCCTGGTCACCCGTCAGGTAATAGTCCCGATACACCTGCAGCACAAACTTCAGATTCAGGTCCTTCCAGTCAGCAGTGTCGTGGATCACGTATGCATTGACGCGGAGCCACGGCTCGTCGTCTGTGGGAGGGAAGGGGGCCTGGTTCATTTGCATTGGTGGATAGGGCAGGGGTTACAAAAGCTGAGGGGGAAGCTGACCTTGAGGTGGAAGGACTTTTACCTGGGTCCCCTATATCATGGGGGATGACATTCCTCCTTTTCACAGGTGCCATTACCCCACTCATCAGGTACCGGCGCCCTGTCAGGTCTTCCCTGAGTGTGGCCAGAGCTGGAGGAGCAGACAGACACGTAGAGGGCAGGGCAGAGAATGGGCAGGCTTGGGATGGCGCAGGGCAGTGCGTGTGACCCCAGAAGGGAACTGATAAATAGGATGTAGATATGTTTGGGGGGGAGGTAAGCTCAGGGACCAGAAAGGTTCAGGAGTGTGGGGAGCTAAAGAGGGCAGAAGAGGCACAAAAGAGACCCTCACCCATGTCATACTGCAGGCTGAGCTCGAGTTTGGGCCAGAGCATGATGAGGGCGAAGGAGGCGTAGAAGTGGACATCGTATGTGTTGTACATGCGATATTCCTGACCTGGAAGAATGAGGGAGACACAGTGTTGCCAGCATTCCTGCTTCCCCTTCAAGTTCCCCATCCTACCCAGCTTGTCCTCTAGAAGTGGGTGTGTGGGGCACTGTCACACTCCATCCTTGCCAGTTACTCCTCATCGCAACCAACAGACTTACCATCCTGCCTGGTGGTAAGGCACTAACGGGCTTCAGATACAGCCTGCCACACCATAGCCCACCAGCAGCTGTACCTTCAAGGTAGCCAAATCGACCATACTCCGTCAGGGTGGGGCGGAGCTGACACATGCTTCCTGCCAGCTCCTCTGGCAGGGAGTCCTCAGGAACTTCAAGCCATATTGTGCCTCCATCAGCCAGGAAGTAGAGTTCGTTGAAGAGGGCAGATTTGTACCAGGCAGGCAAGGACCTGGGGAGCCAAGAGGAGAGAATGGTCTAGCGAGTGTGGACCTCCCAGGAAAGAAAGGGCTCGTGTTCAGCAGAGTGGGGGCACCCAGTGAATCCCAGCTCGAGTCTGCTGACTTTGGTGGGGGAAAGTGAGTGCCTGGGAGAAGGGCAGGGGGTGGGCCCCGCTGGCACCTGTCGTCCAATACCGAGCTCTGCCAAGCCGAGATCCTCTCCTCCCAGTCTGCATATTGGCACAGCGCGTAGTGGCTGAGGGCAGGTGCTGCGTCGCCATCTGAGCCAAAGAACCTTGTGTAACGCCTGGGGTGGAAGGAAAGGGGAAAGATGGACACACAGGCGCCAGGTCAGAGCCCTAGCACCTTGGATCCCTGCACTCTCTCAGTCCCCTCACCTGCAGTAGACCTGGCCCTTGGCCCCAAACATGATTCTGGGCATGTCCCATGCCAGTGAGAACTCCAGGCAGCACCGGCCTCGAGGTGGCAGCTTACCCATAACGCACACGGCCCCAGCGATGCCTACCCCTTTCTGCGAGGGGGTGCTTGGGCCTGAGAGGAACACAAGAGGAGTCAGCACAGGCCTCTCCTTCAGCCCTAGGGATCCATAACTTAGGAACGAGGCCCATTCATTACCAGGCCTCCCACCAGCTCCCCAGACAGGGACAGCCTCTCTTCCCACCACCTCCCTGTGAGACCCCCCATCACCGGCGGGGGAGTCCAGCTGTCCATCCTGCAGTAGATCCTGCCACACCTGCTGCCCAGTGCCGTCAGGGTCAAAAGCTGTGATGTAGGTTACCGTCGTATCTGCCTGTTAAGGGGCCAAAGACTGTGAGGGGAAGCTCTCAGGTATGTTGGCTTCTAGGAAATGCTCTCACTCTTGTTACATATTCCAACCTCCTCCAAGTTCCAGAGGCTTAAGGGCTGTGGGGAGAGTGGGACTCACTAGAGTTTAGGAAATGAGACTGTGGTGGAGTGGGGTGAGCTCAGGGGCTCAGGGGTTCAGGTATGTCACAGGACAGGCTGCTCCGTACCGTGAGTCGTGCAGCCACAGCCATTGTGTAGGGATTCGGAAGGGTTGGGTGGTGCAACAGCAGCCCTCGTACAGTCTCCCCATCACGCTCCAGAGAGAAGGGTTCATTCCACAAACCCCCTGGGGCATCGTCGCCACCTCCCAGTCCGTTCCGCATGGAGAACATGATGGACACCTCCAGGGCTTCGTCCCCTTCATTTTCCACATCCCACACAAAGACTCCTACAGGCAGACTGCTGTCCTGGGTACGAAAGATCAGACTCAGATGGTCCCAGTGTAGCCCCTCCTGGGCCCCTCCAAAGATCAAGCCTCAGAGCAAGGACCTGACTCAGATACTCCCAACATACTCTCTTGTCTTCCACTTGTATCTCCCCATATTCCCACACGGGCTGTCTACCAGGAGAGAGCAGACTGGCCGGGCAGGCGGTGGTCCTGGGAAACCAGCGTGACGTTCGCACTCCAACCCCTTCTTTCCCAGGGCATGGAATTTCCAGCAGAGACAGAACCCAGGGAAGGGGAGACAATGGAAGAAACAGAGGGGGAATCTCACCTGGTAGTCATGGGGCAAGATGGGTGTGATCTGGCGGCAGGTCAGGGTGACATTCTGGCCAGGAAGCTGATAGACGGTCCAGGCTCGGGGATAGAGGGCGTGGTAGAACGCGAAGTACCCGCACAGGCCCCAGTTCCAGCTGCGCAGGACACTTGGGCGCTCCACAGACAGGACTTGCTGGTACACCGTCTGCCCTTCCCGACGCAAGCACACTGTGAACTAAACCAGGAGAGGAGACAGGCTAGAACTGGGTAATTGGTCTCCCTCCCCCAGAGTAGCTCTTCCCCTTCCAGAGCCTGCAGTGATTACCACTGCATCACAGCCTCACTCACCCCCCAGTCCTTTCCCCCTGAGCTCAGTGAGTCGCCAGCAAGTCCCACCTCCTCTCCCTTCGCACTAGTGTGGTCTTACTGCCCTAACCCAGGCCCTCACCACCTCTGCTCTTACCCTCTGCCCTCACACATGTGGATAGCACAATGATCTCTGTTACAGACATCAAGAGATGTTGGTCTGGGTTTATGTTCCAGCGACTCCCCATGGCCCTCAGACTGGAGTCTAAACTCTCTCCCTGGCTTTCAAGACCTTCTTGGTCTGGCCTGTCCCTGCCCATTAGACCCATTACCTGCTGAAGCTCCTATATTCCGTTCACATCAAATACTCACTATTCCTTGAGCACA